TAAACCAATTTTAACAAATCATAGTTTTCCTTTAATATTTTCAAGATATCATGATATCAATAAAAACAATATATACATAGGAATATACTGTAAAGTAGTATAATACCTTATTATTAATATTATTACTAATGTAAGGAGGTAGAACTATGCTATGGTAACAGCAGCAAGAATCATGAAATTAAAGTACAGACTTTCTTTTTGAAAACCCCAGTGATTTACGCTAGCTGATAATAATGACAGCGTTTTGCTTTTAATAGAATCTCTGAGGGTCTCCAGTAATTGAGAAACACATTGGTTGCATTAATTGTTGATCACTCAACACAAGGGATTATTCAGCTCCATTGGAGAAAAAAGACAATACTGTTTGAGTCTGACAAAGACAGAATGGAGAGAGATAAAGGGTCCTACAATGAGACAAAGCACCAGATGCTAATGAGAAAATCATTACGCCAGCAGGAATCACAACGTCTGTCAAACAATCAAAAACTTAAAAACCAAAGCTGACACTTTATGTTAATTTTTATAGTCAATGTCTGGGATGGCAAATTGTTTCATGACAGTAAAATCACACACACACACGCACACAAAGCAGATGCGCACATCCTCAATAAACAAACCCTGTTCATGCTCTTTCTGTCGAGTGCAGCACTTTTACCACAGATTCAGATTAGTCACGTTTCAGTTTCTGTTTCCATTAGAGACAGAAGCAGACAGAGAGGAGATGGAAAAGAAAATCTTTCAGCCTTTGTGTATCAACACAGGACGAGAGATTTCTGAAATTGCCACTGTGAGGGCCAGGCATCAATCCACAAATTGATCTTTGGACATGTGCATTGGTCTACAAATCAAACAAACAAGATACAACATGGTAATTAGTGAGTTTTAAAAGGTGTTGGTAAGACGCTTCTTTTCATACTTTAGAACCAAACTAGCTGTTTCCACAATCAGTCTGTATGCTAAGCTAGGCTAACGACGCCGGTTCCGGCTCACTGGACTGAGGTTGGTATCTACTGTAAAGCAAATAAGTATATTCTACAGATTACCCCTTTATACCCTTAACCAGTGGTCCTACACATTGATACAATTCATCTTTATCAGATTATTCTAAAATTAGTGAGTTTAAGAGAAGGATGGTCTCTTTGCTCTTGTACATTTAACTAGAAACTTGCAAACATAAATCTTGGATCCCCCCCTCCCTTAATGGCTCGAAAACCCCTTCATACAATAGGGGTTTCTGGTCAGAATATGCTCATATAAGGTCTCTTTTTACGATGCATTTTTAAAGCCTTGGAAAAATAATGAGGAAAGGGGCGCTTTGGATTGGACGACTTGTTAGCTTTCTATTTCATCAAATGTAATGTGGTTTTTCCTGCATATTTTGAATGTTGAGACATCAGACCTATAAGAGAAAAGCAATCAGAGACTCTGCTCTCCTGCTGCCTGAATGCAGGCTCAGCCCTCTGTGCCCGACCAGCCATCAGATGGTTTAAACAGACACATAGTTTGCTGTTCACCATGATTCATTATCATCAGTTCAACAGACAGAACACCTCTCTCAAAAAGCCTACATGTTCACATACTGTAGTTTAAGGCAACTTTCAGTTTCTTGCTAACATGTTGCTGGACAGGAAGGACTCTCTTTTTCCTTCCCAGATTCTTTACATTCTTCCTGAGCAGCAAGGTCCATTTATAGCCAATGGTCCGAGCTAATTCCCATGGCAGTGACTTCTAGAAATGGTCTGCTTCACGTTGTTTCACCACAAAGTCCCCCTCTGGACAAGAACATATCTTGTCTTCTTATCCAAATAATCCCAGGACTTGACAAACAGCCCTGTTGCCAAACATGTGTGACGTCCATGATATATGAGCTTTCATGTCCCTCTGCCAACAAAAATAAAGATTTCCCAAAGTCCTCTCAATGGGAAAATCTTGCAGCGTAGCTTCCTTATTTCCATCTACATCACAGCACCACAGTACAGCTGAGGCTGCAGTATGAGGGCTTTGGGTTCTCTTCTAGTTAACAACGCTCATTTATTCTTATTGTACAGCATAGGGTTGCACAATGAAATGCAAGATGCTGTGCCTTTAGGCCACACAAGAAAAATAACTATTTTTTTAATGGTGGAATGTGGAGAATGAGAGGAGGAGTCTAACATCCTGAGGAGAAGCTGCTCTGCAGTCTGGAGGTACTACTGGATCTCTTCCCAGAGTGCAGCAGGGCTGCTTTGGGGAGTTTTGTCCTATAATATCCACTGGGCTCTGTGGACCTCTCCTCACTGATCTTACTGATTCTGAGGACATGGGCCCTCTTCCGAGCCTCCCTGTCCTGGTCCCTGAACCCACCATGAGAGGCAGGATGCCTCCTGTTGCTCTGCTGTAAAAGCTAACAATAACTTGGAATGAGAATGTAGCCTTCTTAGTTTTCCTGGAGCTAAAATAACAACAGATCTCAAAGTTAGGAAAATCAGACGGTGGTCTTTAGTCTATAATTATGGCGTAAAACATCTTACGATCGTCTAAACCACAACTTTTCATATCTGCACCTTATTTTACTAAGATCGTGAATCATTTGTAAAAAAATACATGTTTTATATCTCTGTCAGGGGCGGCAGTAGCTCAGTCTGTAGGGACTTGGCTTGGGAACCGAAGGTTCGCCAGTTCAAGTCCTGATCGGACCAAATAGCGTGGAATGGTACCTGGAGAGGTGCCAGTTCACCTCCTGGGCACTGCCAAGGTGCCCTTGAGCAAGGAACCGAACCCCCACTGCTCTCTGGAGCCGGAACACTGGCAGCTGCTTCGCTCAGACGCCTCTGCTCTAATGCATGTGTAAAGGTCCTGTTTGTGCATGAGTTCATGTGTGCATCTTTACCTATGTTAACAAATATGAGTTAAATATAACATTTCCCAAAAGGGATTAATACAAATATGTTTGATTTTCTTTAAAAAACAAATTGATGTAAAAATCGACAGAACATCTGAAATTTGGTAAAGATACAAAAACAACACTTACGTATGGCATTGAGCAATATTCAATACCTTAATTATGGCAACATAAACTTCAGGAAAGGTTATAGTTCAGTTTGTGTAAAAACTGTTTAGGGAGGCTTTGATTCAAATGTGTCATCATTTTGGAGGATGTGCCTGTGGTGCTGTTGAGCTGTATTGCTTCTGCTGGAAAGATGTAATGACATAAAGAAAGTGGTGATCATCTCCGACTAGTGATGATGTGAAGAAAAATGTCTATTCAGTGTGCTTATCAGATCTCAGCAGCAGGACTATCACATATAAATCAATCTACCAACCAACCGCAGCAGCAACATGTCCGCCACATCAACACACATCCTGGTGTCTGATCACTCATTATGGGATGCTGGAAATGTTCCAGAAGCCTGGAAACCATATGGTGTTTAAGGACACAGCTTTACCTGCAGTAGGTTCACTCACTGTTACTTTAACTCAAAAGTGCAACCAAGCATGATTCCCCAGTCGATTTAACATCCCACCTCAGTATCCTCAGACCTATTGACTGCCGCATCAACCAGACACCAACAACAGCCCACTGAGGGAGCAGAGAAGGGAAATCAATACCTCATACAGGGTAGCAAATAAAAACAGTGTTCCGGGGACAGTAACATTCATACAGGAGGAATTACAAACTGTTCTGGGATAGGATGATGTGGGACAACATGTGGCAACAGTGCTGCTTTAAGAAACCAGGGTCGGCCAACACAAAAGTAGTGGTAACAAAAAGTAAGTAAGCCCCCGTGGAGATCATTCCAACTGAAATCGCATGACTGCTTTATGTGTTTAGCTCATGTGTGGTTATCAAGGTATGCTTTGAATGTATCCAACAGTTGCATTATAGCCTTCAGTCAGTGTCATTCCTTCAAAATGACGGACGTCCTTCATATTTTCCCTTCAGTATTCAAAAGATTAGGGCAAATGTGACACTCTGGTACAGTAGTATAAACCCCACCATAAAATAAAAAGAATGTTAGAAAGGAGAGGAAGCCCAGAGAGGGGGTTCTGTGTGAGCAGCAGGGAACCCACTGTGTCCTGTCACTTTTTGTTTTAGTTAACATTGTGTGTTGTTGCCTTTTATTTCCATCCAAAGCAGACAAACAACACCAATGAGATGTGGTGATTAAACCAAGTCACTTTAGCTAGCCTGCATGATTCTTTTTTTTAGCCTTGTTCTAGTCATAATGAGCAGAATATTATATTTCACGCAACTGTATCATGTTAATTGAAAGCAATAATATTAAGTTGAAATAAAACAACTAACCTAATACAGTTATGTGGAATGTGTTGACATAAACATTTAATTAAACGTTTCAGTTTTTTCAGTGCGGAGTAAAACGGTTTCACACTTCAAACATATGTGTACAGTGTATTTTATATATTGCACTGACCTTAATATGCCTGGCATCTTATTCATTTACATTTCATTGAAATTGTACAGCGAGCTTGGGTCAGGCGAGTGGGGGAATGTGTGCATCCTAATGCATCGTGCAGTGCTCGAGAAACAGAACACAACTCGATGAGGAGGATATAAAGACATGCACACACTTCAGCTCTCACACTGTGAACATGCAGCTGTCCCTCATCATTAGTTCACTGATTATGGACTTACCCCTTTCTGTTGTTTGAGCACACTTTTTAAATGTTAAAGCCTAGACAGAGAATGTGTTTGGTGCATTTGGTGGAGTCTCATTTGACAGACCAGAGCAGCCCAGTGCTGGCGCCTGACCTTGAGGGACGCCTCTGAGATGAGAGGGAATCCACCACGCTCCACACATGAATATATTACACACCATATGTACGGAGTTACTTCAAAACATTCATTCAACTGCAATGCAGTCCTGAAAATATTTGGCCAACGAGACCTTGATGAATAATGTTAGTGATTCAGTGATCAAATGCAGCGTGCAACACTCCGCAGCCTGAAAGTGGGCCACTCAGACTGTAACAGCTCCCTGAAATCACTTGTTTCCTCCTACCTCATCAAAGCCGCTGTCCTCTTTCTTGAAAGCTGCAAAGAGAAGAAAGGAAGGGAGAATCAGACACTGCCTGTATTGACATCTTGTGAAGAATGAACAAAATACAAATATAATGTTAGAGATACAGCACAGAGCAGAGGTTTGGTCCCTGGAATTCATTCTGTTTTAAAGCGACTCATTAAAGCAGCGCAGGGGGGGGGTGGGGGGGGGGGTTTGATTGTTCACCAGTCCTGGTGACAACTCACTTTCCCCATGGAGCAGCCATGTTGGGAAACTGAACCATGGAGAAGCCATGTTGGGAAACTGAACCATGGAGCAGCCATGTTGGGAAACTGAACCATGGAGCAGCCATGTTGGGAAACTGAACCATGGAGCAGCCATGTTGGGAAACTGAACCATGGAGCAGCCATGTTGGGAAACTGAAATCCAGCCAAATGTCGACCAACAGCCAGATCATTTATCGGGTTAATCCGACATTGTGACCCTATCCAACTCTAATGCCAACCTGATTGGTAGAAATTATGGCCAGAATCTAAACCTAGTCAGGGACCATTTATTTTCTTTACAATCTTTCAACAGGCAAATGCAATTCTTATTTACACTGAACAAAAATATAAACGCAACACTTTTGTTTTTGCTCCCATTTTTCATGAGATGAACTCAAAGATCTAAAACATGTTCTATATACACAAAATAACCATTTCTCTCAAATATTGTTCACAAATCTGAAAAAATCTGTGATAGTGAGCACTTCTCCTTTGCCGAGATAATCCATCCCACCTCACAGGTGTGGCATATCAAGATGCTGATTAGACAGCATGATTATTGCACAGGTGTGCCTTAGGCTGGCCACAATAAAAGGCCACTCTGAAACGTGCAGTTTTGCTTTATTGGGGGGGGTCTGGGGGGGTCTGAAAACCAGTCAGTATCTGGTGTGAGGGGTAGGGGTAGGGTTAGGGTTAGGGTAATGTTGTGAATCGAGTGGCCCATGGTGTTGGTGGGGTTATGGTATGGGCAGGCGTATGTTATGGACGACGAACACAGGCCACTCCATTCACAACATTACCCTAACCCTAACCCTAACCCTCACACCAAATACTGACTGGTTTTCGGACCCCCCCAGACCCCCCCAATAAAGCAAAAATGCACGTTTCAGAGTGGCCTTTTATTGTGGCCAGCCTAAGGCACACCTGTGCAATAATCATGCTGTCTAATTAGCATCTTGATATGCCACACCTGTGAGGTGGGATGGATTATCTCGGCAAAGGAGAAGTGCTCACTATCACAGATTCTTTCAGATTTGTGAACAATATTTGAGAGAAATGGTTATTTTGTGTATATAGAAAATGTTTTAGATCTTTGAGTTCATCTCATGAAAAATGGGAGCAAAAACCAAAGTGTTGCGTTTATATTTTTGTTCAGTGTATGTACAGGTATCATTTCCACTGAGGCTGATCTGCATTCTGCGTGCATTTACACTTGCATTAACATCTTTCTCATCATCCAGATAGGATCTATAGATATAGTATTGATATTATACACAGTTTCTTTCTTCAGGCTTTCATTGTGATGATGAGCAGTTAAATCAATCATAATTTCAATAGCCCTATAACACTAATATATCCAGTTACCTATGAAACTATACATGATAATGTATTCATTAATAATAGTCTGTGTACCAGATTAAGGGCAATGAAACCAACATCAAACTCCTCATATACACACTTAGCTGATAAAGCTGATTATGATTCCAAAACCAGGTGAAAATGGGATCATTTGGATAGAATAAAACAGGCTCAAACAACAGCTGGACTTCATGCTTATAAACATTCACAAACCGTTCAAGTTGCAGAATACATCAATGTTCTACCAAAAGGTCAACACTTCATCATTTTATCCTTTAAGACAATTGTGTGAAAACATCTAATTAGCATGTTATTTCTTAGCTATGGCCTACAATGTTTTTTTTGTTGACATTGCCCTTGACCTTTGACCATTAAATCGTAATCAGTTCAACCTGGAGTCTAATCGGGGGGTTTATGCCAAATTTGAAGACATTTCCCTCAAGGCGTTCCGAGAATGGGACAGATTGAAAGGTCACGGTGACCCTAAACAAAAAAACTAAAACAAAAGAAACCTTCCAGATGGTTTGGAGATGTGTTCACAAGAAGAGGACAGACGTAAACCAGTAAATCAAAGGATATCATGGTTATTAAGATTTATAAGTAATAAGTAAAACTATACAAAAGGCTTTTCAGGTGTTTATACATCTACTTCTCCCATCATCAATGACACTCCGCTGTGTTGCTCATTCATTGCGGGGGAGGATCATGTTGTTACCAGTGGGATCGATATCCTTCTTATTTATGGGGAGGGGAATAAACGTTTGTTTCTGCAGCTTTGATTTAGACTTGTGAAGAATTAATAGGCAAGTGATGACTTTCAGTCATTAACGCCTCATGATGATTAAGATGTCTAATGAGAAAGGCAATACAGATGGCGAAAGGCCAGAGGGCCCGGGGGCTTCTTTGTGGTATGAGGTTTGTTTTTGTTTGTCAGATTGAGTGTTTGGAAGCAGTGTCAGCCTGGTTACTGAGCCGTGAAACTGCTGCTTCCTTCTCCTCAGAGGTGAGCACACACACTCCCCAAAGACTTCCCAGACAGCATCATCTCAGCCGCAAAGCCACACTCAATACCAGTGGCGTCGCCTGGCCTGGGCCTGAATGTTTTTTCTTTAGCCCCGGACAATTCTCCCTCAATAATATAATATATTAACCGTGCTTTACGTGAACCTCATCATGACGTTAGAGAGGACGGCAAGACTGTTAATTTCCCTGTTCAATTGATGAACAGAGGCAAGACACCAGACCAATAGAGAGTTGCATGGAAATAAAACGTGTGCTTTTGGCATTCAAAGCTCGGCTCCTGTGGTGTGTGTGGCCAATACGCGCATTTAGTGAGAGAGAGAGAGAGAGAGAGAGAGAGGAGAGAGAGAGAAGAAGAGAGAGAGAGAGAGAATAGAGAGAATAGAGAGATCGAGAGCGAGAGAGTAGCTAGTATACTCTGATCTACTAGTCGCTGGAGGACGCTCTCTCTCCGTCGCTATCTCGTTCTCGTCTCTCTTCTCTTCTCTCTCGTATCTCTCCTCTCTCCCATCGTCTATCTAGAGAGAGAGAGATGCCAGCAGGGACTGTGTTGTTAGCATCTGGTTAGCTAGCTGCACTAACGGAAATAAGGAACTAAAGGACTCTGAGTGTGCGGCCCCCCACCTCCTCTTTTTGCGGCCCTCAGATTAATTTATAAACAACGTAATTAATTTAAAAAAAAAAAAAAATTGTTACTTGTAGTACTGATACCGTCCACTAGACTCCTAGTTACGTCGCGAGCTGCGCACATGATTTCAAATACCGCAAAATAATCTGTGACGCATTTGTGTGTATTGTGTTTGTTTCCCGGGGAAACCCTCACAAGAAACACCGGCTGTCGTTATGCCTGCTGTGACGTTAAGTTGCCGCTTGTAATTGTGCCGTTACAAGCTTAAAAGTTGTTTTTATCATCTGAATTTGGGGAAACAAGTTTAATATTCTTAAAACCAAGACTTTGTTTATTTGAAATCAGATTAAAACAAACTGTCACGGACCCTGCCGTGTTATCTATGATTACTACGCTTTTCATTCATAATTTCAGCGGGAGGGAGGGGGGGTGGTGCTGAGGAACAGCAGAGTGCGGGCTGACAGGTGTCTGTGTTGACATTCCCCTATTGTGGAATAAGGGGAATGCAGAGACAGGCTACAAGTGTTTTAGGTTCAAGTTAGACAACTAATGTCTGGGTTAGTGTTCATGACTTCATGTGTTTGTCATCTAATGGTTAATCTCAATACACACACATTTTCCGTGCTTTCCAATAGTTTAAAATAGCTTTATTCCACTGTTTAATAACCTGTTCAATACAAACATGCCACTTGTAAAAATGAAATAACATTTCTGCGAAGTGATATTTGTTTATTGAGCTTATTAGAGGATGTTCCCTGAAAGATTGTAAAATGTCAATGAAGATGTCAGACTTAGTATATTTGTTAATAATTACATACAAGACATGGAATTGTTGTGTGTGTGTGTTCCAAGTGAATCTGCGGCCCCCTGGTGGCCAGTACATAAATGATGTGGCCCCCACCACCATCAAAGTTGCCCATCCCTGGTTTAGATAGTTAACTTTCCGTCTCAAACGGTTTGGTCACAAATTATTCAAAAGATTATTTCCGCGGCACACCTTCATATGATCATTATAGTTATAAAACAAATAAGAGAATAAAGGAAAAACAGTTATTAAATACTATATGGCAGTAAAACAAGAATACAGTTTGAAAGGGGAGTGATTTGTAAAATATCCATAAAGAAAAAGAACATCTGTTTACAGTTGTGTTTCATCTGGGTGCTGAGAGATGTATCCATAGATCTCTTCATGTTGCTCTCAAAGTGCACCAGATTGATGCTTTCAACTTCAATATTTAAAAAAAAAATTCCAGAGGGAGCATGCCCCCGGACCCCCCTAGAGGAGGTGAGGTTCGCTCCCTACTCATACAAAATAGCACTTTACCCCTGCCTATATGCCGTGAGCTGATTATCGAGCCTTCATTGCAACAGTCTGTACTGTGTGTTTGCGTGTGGGGAGTGTTGCAGTAGAAAATTCCACTGTAGCGCCGCGGCCGCTGCCACTGTGGGCTAAGCCCAGAATGTTTTCGGGTCCAGGCGACGCCCCTGATCAATTCCATGGATCAGGCAGCAGCTACACGATACAGTTGAGTTCTTTACACTGTAAATGCTAAAGCTAATGTCCAAATGCCGTACATTTTGCTTTTTTTGGCTTAATCTTAAAACATCTCACAGCTAGTTCTTCCCCTCCAACCCAGAATGTGATAAGCACGTATTGGAGATGTAAAGATGATCTGATACTTGATGAATCTTAACTTCAGCTGCTTCTTCTTTTGCATACTCTAGAAAGCTTTACAAAGCATATTTATTTAATCGTTTA